ATTTTGACTCACATTCACAGAATAGCAGCATCTCTTGGGGCTTTCTAGTATATTATCAATGAAATGAGCCAAGCAGTAAAAGTCCCAGATGTCGGTTCCACCCCTAACAGTAGCAGTGATTTACCAAACTCAAAAGTCCAAGCCTGTGAAAAAAAAAAGACAAAGGCAGGACAATAAAAGAAAGGGTGCTAAAATGTTATGACCAAATGCACTTAGAATATAATCCAATAATACTGAAAACGTATTTATGGGAAGCAGAATACAATGATGCTGTTGGGTGCTTGGCAACACATCTCCAGAAGCTGCTCATTAAGATTTATATTGTGTGACAAGAGTCAAGATCAGCAGAGAGAGCATTAAATATTTAATGAAGCTCAGAAAACACCTACACTGAAAAATGACCTGCACAGTCTAAGCCAGGAAAGCTTCTTCACTTTTGTTTCATTTTTTATCTTTATTTAGCTCAGTATAACTTGAGACAGTATTAAATTATTTGGCATACTCTTATGTATATGCAAAGCAACGTACAGAAATGAGTTGCCTTTTTTACATGCATATGTTGATGCAAATTCATCGCGCTGATCTTGATGCAGCCATTGGGCTAAAGTTTTTCATATTTAAAGATACAGCAACATTACTCCCAGCTGGGATTCGACCCTACACCTGCTCTCCCGTAAGAACTCAAGAGCCTTGACCACTATTCCACACCGCCACCCAATGCAGTCATCTGTGTACAGCAACCTGCTCAGGAGAGTCCTGAGAAAGTGCTTGTGTTGGAAACATCAGCTTTTTATTTAAAGAATAACATTTTGGGGGGAGATTTATAATAATGTATTTGCATTCTAACATACTGTACATTCTACAACTTGTAAGGTTAATCGGTGTCAACTGTATCTTTTTGTCTCAAGTACCTGCAATCTCAGGTACCTAATTTGTGGGTAACATAAGACAAAAAAGACAAAGGAAGACAAACAAGAAAAATGGAGTTGACTAAAGTCATTTTTAAGATAACAGATTGCATTCACAGTAAATGGCATTTTGTTGTTTGAATCAGGCGATTACTTAGTAAAACTAGATATTACACTAATCTACAATAGGTTGAATCACAGTTCTCTCAAGATTTCACAGTGCATCTGTTCCATCAGTCCTGATAGACCAAGATAAAAGTCTTTGGATGGTTGGGCAAGATGTCAGTGTAACTTGACTGTTAGAGCCACTTATATCTATCCTAGTGACACAGCGGGTTACCGATATCTGGACATCTTATCAGAAAAAAACAAACACAATGAAATGGCAAAGAGCTAGTACTGTAGTATCTTAATGAAATCTATTTATATTTTAAATAAGGCTAAAATATCTTCCACATATATTTACTAAATGCTAAAGTAAAACAAATTTGAAAAGAAGTCCAAGGTGCTGTGGAAATACAACTTTATATTGCCTCAGATTGCATCATATAATAAAAAGGAGCAGTCAAATCTATGTCATTAGCCAAGTTGAATTGTGCTTCCCCAAGCTGCTGCCAGAGCTACAGAATCTGAAAGACTCAAACTTTTCCTTAGTGTGCCATGCTGCATCACCAAATAAATCAGCTGACTCCCAACAGTTTCCCTCACAAAAACTGGTAAATCCCACCTGAGGAACACTGACACCCCCTTGATAATGTAGATGCCAGTTTCACATGAAAATATTCAGGTGCTCAAGTGCCACAACTAAAGACACAATAATTCACGTGTGAATTACACAAAACAAGCATGCCTGCAGTTAAATTTAAGTTTGCGGAATAATTCACCAAATTGATATAGTTGGTAACCCCCTACCTCAGTATGTTTTCAGAAAATGTATTTTAGTGCTGGCAAATTGTGATTAGTTATCAATGTTGTGCAATGAATTACTGTATGTTGCAGTCAAGTTGTACATTGTGAAACCCATGTATTTCCTTATTAACATTAAATCAGTGTAAAAGTTTTATGTTTCAAAGAAGTAATATACAACAAGAATTGTTGACAAGTTTATTTCCATTATTTTATTTGTTATGAGGATTAGTAATTTTAGCTTAATTTTAATGTTTTGATTTGTCATAGTGTACAATTGCATTTTTGTACTGTTTGAGATTGCTTAGGTGTAAAAATAAACTTTAAAAATAAAAGTTTTTGCATTTCAAAATTCCATATTACAATTCTTTATCTCTTCATTTACAAAATATATAACAAATACTTCATACTTTTAAACAGGCTTTTGAAATATCTTTATTCATTTATGAGGCATTTGTTTTTGCTTAAGCACCAATGAAACTATTCAATTTAATTTCCGAACATCAACTTCACTGAAAACGTCAGGTAAGTTTTCAATTTAAGATCTATTGGGAATTACAGTATAAGAAATAACCACTGTTTACATTTATCAAACATTTTTTTTTATTTTTCACATCATTTATATAATGGTTTATTCTTACATTATCCAATTGTTTAACCATCTATCGAAAACTGTCATTATTCAATAAGAGCATTCTGGTAAGGAAGTCCATATTTTCCAACAGAAATTTTGAGACAAATCCACAGTTCAATCAAGCTTCTCCATTTTTTCTTTGTCCTGTTGTCCTGTAACAATCTGCCAGGCAGACACATGTTAACAATGGTTTTCATCCAAACAAACTGAAATGCTTGACTATTCACCACTAATCTGTACAACTGTAAGACCTTCTCTTCTGCAGGAAGGAAACTGTATACACATGTTCTTGCAGGTGTAGAGCCAAGATTAGCAAGTGAGCCCTATAATCAGTTCACCTCTTTATGACATAGAACCTGTAGGTTTGCAGGCCTGATTTTCTGAAACTGTAAGACTGTATTCATGGGAAAACAACATTTTGTTTTTATTATAAAAAACAGCAGACATTTATACAGAATTTGTCTGTAGTTCATTAACTCTAAATATAAACTTTATATATACTAGTAAATACTACTGTTTTACTAATGGCTAATGTTGGTGTTTAAACCACACACTGGAGTAAATTCTGTAGTACAGTACATTCACTGTAGTATATGCGAAAATGTAGTAAACAGCAAATGTGACCTGTTTTTGACCACTGCTATCCTTTCCTATGATGCTTTTGATTTTTTTCCCCTTGTTTTATTTTATATACATTGAATCTGAGATACCAGCTGACACAGACTTTTAGGGGACTGAGAAGGTAACAAGGTTCAGGAGCTGATTTGATCCAGATCGAGATGTTAAAGAATCATTGTGCTATTCTAGCCCCAAAGCTGTTTGCTGACTTTTATTTAATAGTTACATTATTGTAAATATTAATTAAAACTAACATTCAATGTTGTAGTCAGTGTAATAATTGGGACATTTTATATGGAATGAATCTTCACTTTGATTTAGATAAATACTTCCATGCCTGCCCTTAGGATAAGTGGTTACATACTGTACTATACTGTACATGGAAAAATCCCACTGATGAGATACTGTATAACTCATCAAATGTGACCTGTTTTTGCCCTCTGCTATCCTTTTCTATGATGCTTTGAAATGACCTGTAAATTATGTGAAAAAGGGTTTAGGTGTCATTTCACCTAAAAAATGGTGAAATGGTAACTTGTTTGGTCACAAATGAACCAAACAAGTTACAAAAAAACAAGTCTTCTCTGATGAACTGAATCTCAAGATCTGGATTCTGCTCAGGCCGAATATTTACATTGTTACCATTTCTGCTAAAGGTCAACATGCTAATTTTAATGTGAATGTTTGATTGGTTGTATATGAAATTACCATCATATGTAATAATCAATTAAATATATTGAGTCAGACACTAAATTCCAACACGTGTGGCACAAGTGTGACAACAATGTGATATCAGTTAATCTTAGCAAATATGTGCATAAATACAGCAATCTGTGGCATTCCAATCTGCTATGGTGAGTACTTACAAAAAAGGCATTTAACATTAGTCATTAATTAGACTTTAGTATTCATTAACTGATACCTAGGGTCTATCCCCAGAGACGACAGTAACAGTTCATGTGATTCTTAGAATTAATGTACTACAAAATAATTGTAAAAAGCTGTATAACATGATTCAAATACTAAAATGATTTTCTTTGTCTACTCATTAATATATTTTTTTACAACTACAGAATATTGGGCCCCTAATGTATTGAAAACCTATAGGTACTACATAGGGTCATAAAGGTAGGTGAATTGATTCTTTTACTTTTAAACAGTATTTTTGAAAGAGTTGATCATTCTAAAATCTTCACAGCCTTTGTATTTATATGTTTTGAGGCATTTATTTTCCTTTATTTTGTAGATACCCTCAAGAGGAGAGTCCCATGAATTCATAAAAAGGTCTTTAGCTCCCTGATATATGTGACAACACAGCATATTTTTATTCACAATCATCTTTCTAGTTTATTTCATCAATCAGCTCACAGCATTGATTTTTCCAGTGAATCACTGTGTATGCATTGTTGTGCTTTTTTGTGCACCTTGGGTTAAGATTCAAATGTTGGCCATTTTTTTCCTAGAAATAAAATCTCTGCTTCGCTCAGAAGCTTTACCACTGGACAACAGGGCTCCGAGCAGGACACACAATTATTTTCAGCTGTTGCATTTAACATATCCCCCAAAATATCCAAATTAATTTACATCTGTGAATTACATTACAAATGAAAGAAAGAATGGACGCTGTGGTCAACATAAGCATACAAGTTACAATCCGGGTGGACAACAAACATTTGCTGTACACCTGAATAACATGTCAATTTGAGGGCTCCAAAAATAAGTGAGTTGCACCAACAGTGTGTAAGGGACTCTAAAATAAATGTAGGTCTCATTCTGTCATGGATCTAACAATACACACTTTGTATGATTAGAAAGTATTGACTATCTTAACATAACAGTTATAGAAAACACACAATCACTATGGGAATATCAACAGTAATAAACTGATAAATACATTTACCACTATAAATGTACTACTTTAAAATAAAACTGACCACAATGGCCGAATGTCCTTCTTTGGCTTCAGTGCTGATGTTCACAATGTTGATGGATGATGACCTCCTTCGGTCAGAATCTCACAAAAGCACTGAAACATCCAGGAAGGGGAGAGAAGCCAGGCTGTCATACACGAATGTGTTTTGTCAGCCTTTCTGTCGGTGCCATGGAATGCTGAAAAGGGCTGTGCATGAAGCAGCAGTGGTTAGGTACTTTTTGCCATTTTTACCACAAATTTAAAGAGTTATCCTCCTGTCTTCACCATGCACCTTCCAAGCTCCAAATTCCTCAACAGAATCCTGGATAGGCTTTTCAAGTAGTGTGGACAAAATTTGTATTTCATTTACAATATTCGTAATAACCATTTTTGTGATCAAAGGCAAAAAGGTTATGTTTTCAGTGGTTTTGGCAGGTGAAGAAGATCTGAATCTCGGAGACATATTGAAGAATTATCAATGAGTAATTGACAGACATTAAGAACACATCTAAACTGTAATTCTAGACATGATTTCTTATGGGAAAAATTGATTGGGTGCACACTGATCCATTAAATGGTGCACTTTTCATACCTAATGTATGACAGCATACAACAGTATTAGCCTGATAAAACAGTAGGTCCTGCTGCTGTATAGCTTTGAAGATTCATGAGCAATTGATAGACATTAAGAACAGAGATCTAGACCGTAGCCAATCAAGTTCTTATTATGAACAGTTTATTGTCATGCCTGGATTACAAACTCCCAGTTTAATTTTTTTTTTCTACAATGAAGCCCGTAAATACATTGTTATTTTTCTACAATGAAAAAAAAAAACACTTCATCGAAAGCAAACTTTCAGGATGAAGAATAAATGTGGTGGCTGTGAAATAGTTAAGAAATTGAGGGATGACTGTAGTTCATTTGGCAGATTTCTGGCAGATTTTTAATGGAAAAAGAATAAATGGGCAATTTTTGACTCATGGGGGATTTAATTGTCACAGGTATAGCATTTGTCTTAGGATTTCGGTTGAAAATATTTACCTCCTTACGACAGTATGATCACTGAATAATAGCTGTTTTGTTTATGAAGCCTAAAGATTATCTGAATGAAGGGAAAAGGGAAAAAACATAAACAATCCAGTTTAATAAATACAAAAAAGGCGTTTCTTACAATTTCCTAATGGTGGGAGTTGAGTTTTCTAAAGAAATACCACATGATAGCATCAATTTTTAATTGAACAGAAATAAAGGAGACCATCAGGTTAAAAGCTGCTGTAAGTCAACTAAGTTAAATTTAAGGGGTTTATTAAAATATTTGTTTAGTCTACATTTTATGAACGAAGGTATAAATAATTTCAATCTGGAAAACTGCATTATAACAATTTGATGCTATAATTAAGCAACTACAATAAGCATTACAAAAGTGTAATTGTACATTGAAACAAATCCAAACATTAAAATCAACATTAAATTACTAATCCTCACAAGAAGCAAAACAAAAGCTGTGCTGACGTGCCTTGTATAGATAAACTGGATTTGTGATATTGTACATTTTTGAAAAAGGGAAAGTTGCTTTATTGCTTTGAAATTACAATTATTGACACAGAGATAACATATGTGTGCATAACATTAAGGTAATGTAAGATGTTCAGGAACAATGTACAACTTGTCTGCAATACTTTGTACAATATGTGTGCAACATTTTTAACATGCCAAAATTGACCACATCCAAAACATAACTGAGAGCACCCCAAATGGGATGTGCACATGGCTAATTCACATGATACGCCCTCCACATTTCCCACATTTACATGCATTCCCAGGAAAATGAGAGGCTTCGCATCTAAATGCAAGAAGGTATCAGGTGCACATTTATTTCTTGAAACACAACATTCTCAAGTGACTGAAAATACATAGTAAACTGACACAGAGGGGGCAGTTTCCATTTGTGGCCATACACGTGCACACCTGGAGGAATACCGTGAGAGGATCCAGTGTACAACTGAAGATAAAAGTTTTTTTTTAATTTTTCACCTGAAACATTTTCACCTGCAAACGTCTGACATTTCGAGTACGATCATCTTAGAAGCACGTGAAGAAGGACCTGGACTCAGATCTCGGTAATCTTAAGCAGTCATAGCCGGTTTTCCACCATGGTGATCTGGAAAAAGGTTTGGTTTGAACTCCAAGGTTAGGCACGTATGGTATGAATTAGCATGGGTATTACTCCCTGCTAAGTATACATTTTCCCCCCAGTTTTATCAACACCAGCACAAGATGTCTATGCACATTAGCCTTCCACTTGAATAAACGTAAAGCATTTTTGGGAAACAGCACTGATGCAACAGAATCCCAGCAGGGTACAAGGGGCATTCTTCATTTGGTTGGAGCCACTAGTCATGAATAACCAACCCTCCATGCAATGATTCCTGACAGAGGTGCACCTGTCAACACATACTGGAGCCAGTAAGAGAAGTGTCGCTCTTCTGGTTACACAGCAAGGCACTCAGTCACATGACAAATGAACCTGATCCGGGTGTGTCAGGAGAGTGTGACCACAGGTCCTCATTCTCCCCATTTGGTACACTAGGATGATTAACAATGGCAATTCCACACCGAGAGAGTATAATTAATTCTTGCCGAATGAAAAATTCTCAGTGTGGAATTGCTGTTGTTAGTTTGCTTATTGTTGTAGGCTGTGTACCTATATTCTTTTCAGATTTTAATTAACAACAATAAGCAAATGCCCCACCAAATAAGAAAGTGAGGTACGGAAAAGGGTCTGGAACAACATGTTTTCTTGTTAAGAAGAGAAAACTTTAAAAAAAAATGATTTTCAGAAAACGAAATCATGACTTCTCCTTTTTGTGTAATGCTCGTCTCTTGTTCAGAAATGTATCACAAACCCAGCATATTCTTTCAGACTATATTGATGAAAAAGGGCAGCAAAAACGTCATCGCTGGCTACTCCACTCTGCATGCTTCTCACTTTCTTTGGCCATTAGTATTTATAATAATAATAATAATTGCTTACACTTATATAGCGCTTTTCTGGACACTCCACTCAAAGCGCTTTACAGGTAATGGGGACTCCCCTCCACCACCACCAATGTGCAGCATCCACCTGGATGATGCGACGGCAGCCATAGTGCGCCAGAACGCTCAACACACACCAGCTATCAGTGGGGAGGAGAGCAGAGTAATGAAGCCAATTCATAGAGGGGGATTATTAGGAGGCCATGATTGGTAAGGGCCAATTGGAAATTTGGCCAGGACACCGGGGTTACACCCCTACTCTTTTCGAGAAGCGCCCTGGGATTTTTAATGACCACAGAGAGTCAGGACCTCAGTTTTACGTCTCATCCGAAAGACGGCGCCTGTTTACAGTATAGTGTCCCCGTCACTATACTGGGGCATTAGGACCCACATGGACCGCAGGGTGAGCGCCCCCTGCTGGCCCCACTAACACCTCTTCCAGCAGCAACCTTAGTTTTTCCCAGGAGGTCTCCCATCCAGGTACTGACCAGGCTCACACCTGCTTAGCTTCAGTGGGTTGCCAGTTGTGAGTTGCAGGGTGATATGGCTGCTGGCATATAATTTCATTACAATCAGATACAGAACAGCTTTCTGTTCCTGGCCATATGCTCAGCTATTCTACACCCTAGCAGTAGTCACTTCTCATTTGTGATGCAAAGTGAGTGTAATATGCTACTTTTATCTTTACATTAGGTTTAAAAGCATTTACAATATAAAAGCAAGGGAATGTTTTTTTTAATATTGTTACATTGTGTGGTATATAAATCTATGGACTATCTCTATCTTATTAGTTATAAGGATTTCTAGAAGTTTAAAACATTTTCCACAAGTGCTAAATTACATGTGCCTCACTTTTCCAAGTCAATCTGTTTTATACATCTATATTCCACACAGGAAATAAAAACGAAAAAAAAAATAATGTAATGATTACATTGAAAAACGTGCCAAGAGTTCAAACGGTCTACCGTAACACAGAGAACCAGTCAACACTTTAAGTCATCGATTCCAGAACTTGTATCTACAGTACCTGTATGTCGGGTAGAGATTTTCAATCGTTTCTCAACAATACTTAATAAGAAATACATAAAAATGGTAGGTTCTCCAAAGGACATTATTCTTTCTTGTCGACAGTCCACAACAGTCTTTTGTCTTTTTGACAAGCCCACAATGGCTAAACAAATGAATATAAATCTCACTTTTGTGAAACGGAAACACTTTGATGAACCAGTTTTGAAAGTAGTTTCTCCTACCCACCTTGTACAGTATTCTTCTGCGCAAGTTACTTAACCCTTTGTTCTCTTTCCTTTGCATGTTATGGGTAAAGTGTAAAAAATCTAGCTTACACTACTGTTTAGGCAGCTCCAGTTGTAGTTGCGCAGAATTTGTGCACTGGAGGGATTATACGCGTCCGCCATTGCTAAATGAACTGTTATTTATTCTAGGTTTCACCTAGAAATCCAAATCTATTTATAATGTTTAAAGATTAAAACACCTTCATTTCGCAAGTGCTTCAACAACAACAACAACAACAACAACAACAACAACAGTAAACGTTCGAGAACTGGAGACTATTGGTTATAATGAAACACGTGCAGGAATAACATTTCAGCACAATATAAAGGTGAGATTTACTTCTGCGATTCGCTTTTCTACAACTACTGTACATTAATTATAGTTATGTTACACGAGAACGATTTAAATGATCATTTCTTTACAATTTGTACAATTTCACAAAAAGTGAAAAATAAATACGTAATTTTGGGGGAAAAAGGAAATTAATGTCCTACTCTATAATGACTGCTATTCTCTACTTCATTGACCTGTCAAGAGCTCGGCAGTTCTATACTATACAGTATATCAGTATATATTTTTGGGTTTAAATAAATATATAGACTTTAGATATGAAAACAGACTAATAATTACCATGAAGACCAAACCCTTCAGGAAATGAGCTTTTTTTTTTCAGAACTGTCACTTAACGCTTACTTTACACGACTTTTCATTCAAAGTCTCTGAGGTGGATTTCAAAAGTGGCTGGAGAATTACATTTAATAGAATACTTATGAAATGCTGCTATAGCAGAAATAAAAACAAACTTAATTCATAACTGGACTGATATGAAAGACGTCTGGTACTAGCAAATTCGCAATTGATTCAACAGGAAACTGCACGGTACTGGGAAAACTATCGTCTTCCAATATCAGGTTTGGTAAACATTATACATTTTTAAGGTAAACAAAAACCTAAACGTTACGATACATTTTCCAGTCAAAATGTATAACGGTAATATCCCTTATAATTAATATTTTCCCAATTTGTCGGATATTGCAGATTGTAATATTTAACATGTAAAATAGTTTTCATCTTTAACGCAATACAATACAACAAAACTGCAGGTGAGAAAAACAGTTCTAATGCTACGTCTAAAGCCCGAAATGCTGTATACTATTATGCTTTTCAAGAATGGCAACATTTAATATACTGTTTTATAGCATATAGCCACATGAACTGTGTTTGAGTTCTTCGGGTCTATCAGACACTAGCAGTGCGCAGACGCTTGATACCTCCTCCTTTTCTAACCCCGTTATAAACGATCAAACTCCAAATTACCTTTAAAAAACAAACTGTTTCGAGTCCTTGTCAATTCTAGGTTCGTGTTTTCCAGAAGAACATTTTTTATAACACATTTAGCCCAAGCGAGACACCTTGTTTCAAG